AAGTAGCCTGCGTCATAAGGATATTATTAAGAATTTTCCTAAAATTAGCTTGGTATGACTTTTTTTCCCCTTATTAATAATGACTATATATTTATCAATAATCAATCAATACTATATACTAAATACTTACTATATATTAAAGTAATCACCTGGATTATCCCAATAGTACACATGTCGCGTCCACAATAAAAATTTTCTTGCCAAAAACTATTTTTTCTTTTTCCTTAAAAAATAATAAGATAATTGATAATAAAAAAAAAAAAAAGAGAGAGAGAGAGAGAATATGCAGCCTAAAAATTAGAACAATAATAACTTTAGATAAATAAAATATTTTTTAAATGGTTAATCTATAAAATGTATATTCTCTTGAATCTTTAACTGTTAATCTATTAAATAATTTCGTTTCCTAATAATGAAGGATTTTAACTAAATCTTAAATTCATAACTTGTAAGCAAATTACAAAATAGAAATACTCTACATTAACGTATCACATCTATAATAATACAATAGCATAATTAAATATTTAAATGTATACACAATCCATTAACAAATATTCGAGCATTGCTCGGGCAAAGAACTAGTCTATCAATGAATAACTATATACAAAAAGACACACCAGCAATGACACGTGTCATCTCCTGTGGTGTCCTTAATATTTTTTTTTTTTGAAAAAAAAATCAATTATAGTATAAAATAATAAAATAATCTTATACAAAAATAATTACTTGAAATAAATAAGATTTGATATACCTTTCCACACAAACATTTATGACTATAATAAAAAAAAAATAACATGATTTGCGACATATTTTGATTTACTTCAAGAAAGTATTCATATTTATTCCCTAATAAAAAATAGTTGTTTATTTATTGATTAGAATTCACATCAAAGCAGTGTGCATATGTTTTAATATTTTAAAGATTTTTTTTAACTTTTTAACATGAAAAGTTGATAGTAACTTTTAAAAATTACCGTGTATGGCACGGGACCGAAACTAGTACTATTTACTAAAATAATCACCGGATAGGACACTTGGCATAATTTTGTGAAAAAATTTTCCTCCAAAAAATGATGTATACCTTTTTTTAATAAAATTCTATTAAAAAAATCTTTTTTTTTTATGATTTTATTTTATATATAAGTCATTTAATTTAAATTAACTATCATTATTAAATCTTATTATTATGAATTCGTGCGTAGTACGAGGCCAAACTTAGTATATATAACAAATAAATCAAAGAACACCAATACTACAACATTAATATTACGTACAAACACATAAATTTGCTGATATTAACTCAAATACTTGAGTCTAGGTGACCTAATAAAACACATCACAAACCTAAATTTATACAAAAAAAATTAAGCGTCCACTAATTAAATTAAACACATAAATATAAAACAAAACCAAAAGTTGTAACCAAAATACATTGATAGGGTTGAGAGGCTGCCCCAGTTGATCTTCTTGATCAATTTACAAAACAAATCAAAATGGCAAAATTATAAATAACGTGAACAGTAGCCACATGCTATTACCATTTTGCCCCAAGTTTAATGATGGAAAAGACACTTTTACCCTTACTAAACATATGTTATTACCATTTTGACCCAGATTTAATGATGGAAAAGACATTTTTACCCCAGGTTTAATGATGAAAAAGACACTTTTACCCTGTTGATTGACAAAATAAATTGATCAACAAGATCAACTTATATTTTGCGGTCAAAAATATATTGGGTATATGATGAAATACATCAATCCAACCTCGAAATATCTTTAACTCAGCTTCCCTTGCATCTTCAACTCTTTTGGGACATTATCATAACCAACCACCCACTAGTCCGTGGAATATGAACCTTGATGAGATTGAAAAAACAAGATAAGATGTACTATAGTAGTGTAATATTAATTACTATTTGATAATATAATTACTATTTGAATCATAACATCATTATATATCTTTAAAAAAAAGGGTTTGGATATGATTGCAACAATGGTTGATGATATATCATCTAACATCCTATCAATTAGAGTGAATATTATGTTAGTCAACGAAATAAATAGTAAGGTTTTTGTTTTTTCTAAATTGAAGAATTATCCTCCACTTGATAAGGATCTCTCAATCCGTTGGAAAATATTATGTTTCCACCGAGTTTGAAGAAGTTGATGATATCCTAATAAAAAGGTATTTTTAAATTAAGCTAAATAAGTGAAAGTATGCACGAAAAAATCAAAATTAAAATTTGTTAGTACATACCTGATGCCCATAAAAGGTCGAAGGAGATTGCAGAAAAACTTTTCTAAATTTTAAACGACAAGCCTTATCGAAATGGGTTTGTACAAAAGGTCGAGACGACAACATAGTCTCGTCAGCACATTCGGTATGGTAAATTACATTTCTATTTTAAAAATTATTATTCTAAATCAATTTTATTTAACTAATTTTTAACCAAATGTAAATGAATTTATTATTCTAAATTATTAATAAAAAGAATAAAAACATTTATATAAACCTTTCATAATATTTAAAAATCCTAAAAACAAATTCAATTATATTATATATTATATATTATATATATATTGCACACATATATTACTACCTCTATTACTTATTATTTGCAATAACAGGATATTATTTGTGAGATAAAATATTCTTTTGTTACAACAATAAGAAACAGAGGTAGTATATACAAAGTAGCTACCAAAGCAACGTTCTCCCACATATAAGTCCATGTAGTGCACTAACAACTCCATCAATTCCAAAATCTTTTCCCATTTGAATTTCATCGCATATCACTTTAATGTTCACATTAGCGGACCAACATATTTAGCAGCATTTGAATACATTTGCCCTAGCCAATTTTTTGGCCTCGTCTACTGATGCGAAGGCAAAATAAAATCAAATCCTGAGTTTTTAAATTACTAGTCTCTATTAGAGTTCAACATGTCAAGATCAATTAATATTAAAAAAAATTACAATTTCATGAAAAAAAATATCAAGAATTTTCACCTCCAACGTAGCCGCTGCCGACAACTATTACAGGTGACGAATAGGCGGATAAATTGGCCTTCAAACTTTGAATGTTTATTGCAAAATCTTGAAGGGCTTGTTATGCTGTGAGGCACTTGCATATCTGATGATTAGCCATTGCTGATCCTCCCTAACGGTATGGAATCACCGTACCGTAGACACGATGTTAAATCAATTAGGAGAGGCAAAATAAACATGTCATACATTAGATTAAGTAAACATGTAATAATAAATTAAACAAACTTAATTTATGGTAAGCTACGAAAGTCGAATATGGTAATATAACATACTACCTCTGTTTTCCTAATTGTTACTCAGTTACCATGGCTACATGCCTACATACATAAACTAAAAAAAAACTTGAAAGTGAGACCATGTACGTAGGTATCTTTGTTTTAAAGGGTTATAGTTCTCATTTATATTACTTACATATATATATATATATATGTAACACACCAGTAATGACACGTTTCATCTCTTTGTGTCCTTAGTTTTTTTTTTGTTTTTTTTTTTAATTTGATTAAAAAAATCTATTAATTAAGGAAACAAATCATTTACAAAAATAATATTTTTTTTATACATATTCCATATTAATGTAGTAATTATTATATTTATAATAAATTTCACAAATAGTTATAAAAATAATTTGGGCAACTATAAACCAAAAAAATATATTCTTAAAATAATTTGTAACCTATTTTACAACAAGAAAAAGATTGCTTGAATAATTTGCCTACTTTTGTTTTAGTTGTGTATTAGAAGTTACAATAAAACATGCAAATACCAAATCAATCTATAACATACTTTTATTATTCCTCGACTAATTTATAATTGTAATACTTATCAATCAAATATAATAATCTAAAACTATACATAACTATAGATCACGTGCATGGCACGGGATCTAACATAGTATTTTATATAATAAAGTGATTTTAAGATTTTAACAATTCCTCCCTCAGCTAAGCTGATATATGACATAAGTTTTCAAGGTGAACTAAACCTGACATAAGATATTAATAAATAAAAAGTCCATACAACACATCTATACAATAAAATAAACAACAATCATTTTGCTCCAGAGTCTCTAATGAATAGTTAGTAGCATATGAATATTAGTGGACTTAAACAAGTTGGATGATCAAATTTCAACAAATGTCTAAGAAAATAATTTTGAAGGTTAGGAACATAAGCAAGTCTATCACTTGGGTGGTACACTTACGCACAACTTTTAGATATCTCATGCTTAGGGATGGCAATTGGGCGGTGTGGATACCCTCTCCCATACCCACACCCATCAAATATTTTATACCCACCACCTACCCGCCATCCGCGGTGGATAAAATTCAACACCCGCACCCGTCTAAGTGGGTAGAAACCTAAACCCACCCTTGCTCCACCACCCAAGTGGATATCCACCACCCGCCTTTTACCCGCCAACTCAACATTCTTTTTAAATAAATTTCCTATATAACTTGTCGTTATACACTTTAATTGTTATGAATATATATTATAATAGCATAATATACAATGTAGTAGGCAATATGTGGGTATTTGGGCGGGTATTCGGGTAAGTAGGCAGGTAGGCGGGGTGATGCGGGTAATAGACGGGTATAACTCAAAATTCACCACCTACCCACGGTGGGTATGACTTTTGTATCCATACCCGGCCTACATACCCGCCAAACTTGTACCCGTACCCGCCCCAATTGGGACGGGTGCGGTGCGAGACTCGCATTTTTATACCCACCTGCCATCCCTACTCATGTACCTTTTATAATAGTACGAGTAGTCATTATATATACCTTTTACTAATATACATAAAGTTCGAGTGTGATACCTCACCTGTAAGATTTTGTGGGGGGGGGGGGGGGGAAAGGACCTAAAGCTTGACAACTCTAGCAAATTTGCAATAGAAAAGACAAAACAACTCAAGTAAAAGGTATTAAAGCAGAAAGCAAGATAATAGTGGGAAAATGATCGAATGAATAATGGAACTTTCACAACGCCTATAAACAAAAGCAGGTCTGCTATTGACATTTTACAATGCCTATAAAAGAAACAAATTAATCTAATTTATGCTCCCAACAGCATAACTCGAGCATCTTGTTATGCAGACGTACATGGGATCTTATGCAAGCTTAAAAAACAATCGTACATGTGGATACGCGTAACAATTGTCAAGAACAGGCAGGCACCCAAAGCAGCTTATTGCTCTGCTTCTTCCCTTTCCCTGGGAACAGCGCCAAATTGGTTGATCAAAAGCTCAGCAACGATAGGCACCAAATCTTTACACGGAACTTGCTTTTTGTAGATTTCACCTAGATGTGAGTCACTGCCAATACGTCCTCCTACAAACACATCGGCTCCTTCACAAGGCTTACCGTTCTCATCCCTAGCCATACAACCCATAAATCCAATATCAGCCACTTGTACTTGCCCACAACTGTTAGGACACCCTGTCCAATGCATCCTAACAGGTCGTGTCACAGACACTAGTCGTTGAACCTCCTCTGTCACCTTGAGTGCCCTGGCTTTGGTCTCAATGATAGCTTGGCCGCAGAATTGGCTCCCAGTGCAGGCCACAAGCCCCTTCATCAAAATGGGTGGCTCAGGGGAGAACCGCTCTTTTAAGAGAGGCTCGTTTAGTAGTGCATCTACCTTGGAGTTTTCCACATTTGAGATGATTATGTTTTGCTCCACTGTCAGACGGAGCTCACCAGAACCATATTCATCAGCTATACGAGCTAAGTCTTCCATCTCATCGGCCTGGAGACGTCCAACAGGAATGTGAAGGCCCACAAAGCTAAAGCCTTCTTGTTTCTGAGGGTGAACTCCCAAGTATTCTCTCCTTTCCCATTGTTTCTGAACCAGTTCTTCAGAGGATGCTCTTTCTAGGACTTGGTTAGGCATTCTCTTTTCCACCTCAGCCCTGAATCCTTCCATACCCTATCATTGAGAAGAAAATAAAGAGCAGTAGAGTTAGAATCTCTTTGCATTATATTGTGACTTAGTGGGCACACATCACTGCCTCAAAACCGTATCCCAAGGTCTATTGGTATATCAGTTAGATGGTTAGACATTTTAAAAAGGTTAGTGAGGTCGTATTCAACTTAGTATTGATCAATTGGCCCAAACAAATAATCAAGGAAAAAGCAGAACGAATTTCTCCGTAAGTACATAGTAATAGATGTAATAAACAGTTAGTAGTAGGATTGGTATTAAGTACTCACTAGCTCGTCAATTAGCCACATCATTCTGCACTTCTGCCTGTTTCCTCTAAAGCCGAGATCCCTGAAAGCTTCAAGCATAGCTTTGCAGACAGGAACCACATCTTCTGCTGAGACCCAAGCATCTAGAGGGATCGCCTCTTCACATCTTTTAATGCTGAAGAATCCTCCAACCAACAAATTAAATCCGAATTTTCCATTCTTTGTTGCAGGCATATAAGCAAGGTCATTGATGTGAGGATGCTCATAAAGATCATGGGAACCAATAACACATGGATTCCACTTCCTTGGCCTGTACCAATGTTCAAAACAAACAACCAAAAATAAGAACCAAAGAATAGCTAATCAATTAGACTAATTTACTTCAAGGGGTCTCAAACAGACTTACAGATTGGTAATAGAAAGGTTTCCACGCGAATTAGCAGTGACAAATTGCGAAATCAGGTTGGTAAATGGTCGGGTGTCAACAATCTCATGAGGGTCAATTCCTGCAAGAGGATTGCCTACAGGGTTTCTTACATTGTCCATACCACTCTGTAGGCTGGTAAGACCAACAGCTTCCAGACCCTTGATGATTTCCGGCACATCAGGCAGAACAACCCCTCTAATCTGCCAGTTTTGCCTTGTTGTCACATCTGCGCACCCATCTTCCCCGTACTTCTTGATCACGCTTGCTAAGTACCGTGTTTGCTCACTCGTTGTTACCCCATTTGGAAGCTTCAATCTCATCATGAATCTCCCGTCTAAAAATATCACCATATTTACATTCATCCATCAGACTTTTACTCCAATTTGTTAAAATTCTCAATACCAATTCACCTACCTAGTCCATTATCATTCTATACAATCTATTGTCAATAAAGTTAACACTCAACAGGCAATGGTTTTACTGTGTACCAATCTAATTTCAGGATTCCGAATATTATTCATGTCCTTTCACTATGAACTGCTACGTATAATGCACGTCATGCTCGCTCTCGAATGTATGATCTAATCATATAAATTGCGACAAGAATTTGTTGACTTAACAATCAAATCAGAAACAATTGCCAAAATAAGTAATCAACCACTCAAAAAGTAACTAAATAAATCATAAAATCCGATCTAATAACACCAAATCACAAAATAAACAAAAAAAAAAATGATTAATAAACTTACAATGATGTTTACGACGATGGAAAAGACCAAGCCACTTAAGTCTAACATCAACATCATCCTTATTATGCTTAGCTTTATCAATCTCTTCCATTGATAAAGTAGCAAGATCATTAATCCCATCTTCAACAAACAATTTCATTGGGTCTTTTTCAATCTTAACTTTTTCAGCAGGATTAATCCCATCTCTAAACTTCTCCTTCAAAACCCAAAACCCATCTCTCTCCTCTACTCTCGGCTCCAGCCTCGCCGCATCGACAGACGAAGCCGGTGCCGTCTCGGCCGCAGGAGAAACAGCACCAGCCTTCTGGGGTCTAATCTGGTGGCATCTTATCACACTCGACGATAACGTTGTCGATGATAGGCTATTATTTCTCCTAGATGAAACTAATGTTGGTGGTATGATCTTGTTAACAGGAAGTAATGCCATTTTTTTTTTTGCTCTGTTCTACTATAAAAACAACAAAGATGGTGATAATTAATGGATTGAATTGTTTATGAAAGATTGATGAATGAATTGAGGAGGAAAAGAGAGAGAGAGAAAGACAACGAAAGAGAGGAGTGTGGCAACTAGTAAATAAGCACAAGTTAAAGGGACTCTTGGAAATGGTTAAGGGTCATTTTGGTTGAATGTTTGGTTGTGTTCGACAGTCAGTGGATTTGATGCCAGCCAAAACTAGCGGCTAAAGGGTCACCCCATGATATTTACCAACGCCTAGCCGCCAAATATTATTTTTTATGGTCCAAGATACAAGAGAAATCTTAAGTTTACGTTACTATGCCCAATTTTTTTCCAACGCCTTTTATATATACACCAGAAATGTTAATTTGGGTTGGGTTCAATGAGATCACATTCGATTCAAGTCTAATCTATTCAATTTTTAAATTTGAGTCATATTTACTCATTTTATTTATTTATTTATTTATTTATTTTCATTCTAAGATTTTAAAATGAGTAAAAAAAAAATATATTAAATGAACAGAAATCTATTGGGGTTTTAAAAATTCTGTCATGTTACAAACTTACAACTATTTTTGATGCTAACAAACTTACAACTATAAAGTGTATAAAACATATTGGAGAGTTGGAAGTTAAGAGTATGATTGAGTTAATACCGAAGGTGATAATCCCGTTGGTGTAGTCGTGTAGATCAACATTCTTTACGATATATGTGGAAGCAATGGCAAATCTAGATAATTGTCATGGGGCAGGCCAAAAATAAGGCGTGATAGTTTTATAAAATGGACTAATAAGAAAACAAAAAATTGGGGACAAAAGGGGTTCAAACAATCAACTAAAATTAGAGATGTTAATTTAGGTAATTTAGTGGAGTTCAATTGGCTCTAGTAGAATAGGGGTATAGTTTGGGTTTGAATTATGCTAAACCATTGCGGTCATACGGGTTGAAATCTGGAGCAAGTCACTTTTGGATTAGGTTATCTTTACTCAAGACGGATTAATTTCAATACCTTAAACGGCAATTACATGCATGAACCAACTAAGCTACTGCATCCAGTTATTTGTCCATGTGGAAGATTGAGGTATTGTATGTAGATGTAAGCTAGGAATTTTTGTGAAGGAAATAATGTAGCCGATTGAGTTGCAAATTTTTAAGCTACCTTAATAAATGATTAATTGATTAAAATTTGTATTAATTTTTCATTTTGGAAGTGTTTGGGAAGGAATTAAAAAAAAGGTTTAGGCACTATATGTGGCTTATATCAATTTGGTACTTAAAATAGCGTCTAATAATTTGTCACTGAATAAATGACATCTAACGAAATCATTCTTTTTATGTTATGGTGCATCAATAATTTAGAAGATCGCGGATCACATGTTGGCCCAATTAAGGTGTAATCAAACTTTGAATACTTTTATGAGCATCTTTCATGAGATGGAAAGTTGTTCGACCTAGAATAGACCAGGAAAAAAATGTGTTATGTCGGTCTTCTAAAAACAAACCCATGCTAGCCAAACCAACTTGTCGTGCCAAGCTTAAAGCCACATGCAACTAATATAGATCTTGTATAAACTAGTCGAAAAAGTGATCTAGCTAGTCATTCTCATGTTGGGTTTGTGTCAAAATTTAATATGATGTCTTCGTATGATTCATGATCCACCAGTGTACCTCATGCCAAACAAACCAATTTTGTGTTGGGCTAGGCAACTCACGTGTCTACCTAAACCATGGTCGACACTAAGCTTGCATCATCTCAAAATAAACGTCATGAACTAATGTAAATAAAACGACCTAAATGTACTTCATCATCAAGCTTTTAAAATATTATATTGTATGATAAACGAAATATACAATTAAGAAGTATTAAAATTGAACACGTATTACGGCAAAGTTTTTATTATTTTTTTGACGATTTCATGGCAAAATTCAATGTACTAAAGATCTCTGTTTTTTGTTGTTACACCAAAGTTCAAGTGGCTTTTGCACTATTAATTTTTTTATGTTAATGTATTGCTTATGTAGTTATGTTAATAGTGGTAAGCCATGACGAGCTAAGGGCTAAAAGGGAAGTGCATTCAATAATTCAGTTTCTAACTTTTAGTAGGGGTGAAAATTAAGAGCAATATAATGCTTACATGATTTTTTTTTAATATTGGAATTATTTAATTGTACAATGGTTTGTACCATTAATAATGTTTATTCAACTTAATGTATGTGAGTTTCTCACAATAATCTCACTTACCATCTAATGATTTTTGGTGTCCACTTTGGGTTACTTTCTTTTTACCCATGCGCCCTTAACCCACAAGGGGGTGAACCCAGAAAATTTGTATAGGGCATGTCAAAACAGAGGAAGTACTAATGCAGTATTGTTATGCATTTACAGATGCATAACAGATACTAAAATATTAAAAATCACATGGAAAAGAGTAAAAGGAGGAGAGAGAAAGGTAAGTGGGACCACTTTTAATTGTACCATTGAGAGCTTATATAATACCAATGGTTATATATATATATATATATATATATATATATATATATATATATATATATATATATATATATATATATATATATATATATATATATATATATATATAGTTAGTACCACTGAATGCATATATAGCACCACTACATACATACATAGTACCACTGAATATTCAATGGTACTATTGATCACTCAATGGTACTACTCTAAAGTCAAAATATACATTACGTATAATTACACCCTTACCCCTCGTTATGCAATTATTTATGCATAACAATACTCCCTTTAAACTCCCTCGTCAAAACATAATAACCAATTCCTCCATTTTTATATTATATTAACGCATATCCTTTTGGCATGACACACGATTTAAAGATGCAATTATGTAAATGAGCAGATTAATTAATTATAGAGAAAGATTTTGATAAAAACTGAGAGAGTTTAACACTTTATAAGGCTATGGGGCTACCCCTTTAGTCCTTCTATTGTCATATTTTTTTATTTTTTTTATTTTTTATGGTAAGGAAAAAGACCCTGACCGTACCTCAACCCGACAAGATAAAGTCGTATAACTGAATCAAAAGTAATTTCTAAAACCGCTAACTAAAATAGATAGGGAAGTACGATCGAATCCACAAGGAAACACTATTCTTCTATTTCTAATTAATTATTATAATCTAAATTATCAAGAAATTAAACGAGTCGGGTTTGAATGAATTAAAAAGATATCAATTAAATAAAAGCCTAGGGCATAAGTTCACCACCGACAAACAACAATCAAATATCAATGCATAAGTTAAGCAGATTACAACTGGCTTCTGCAACTTATTATAATCACGGAATTAATTTCTAAGTAGTATTAAATCGCATCTTCTGAATCTTGACTTAACAATACATAAATTAATTTCACCTATTGAAAATAGCCTTAATATTAAGCTCATCTTTCGCCTTGAAATGATATTGTGTAACTAATACAACTAAACCTGGCCAAAATCTTATTGAATAGCATTATAACAATCAATGGGAAATTAACCTAAATTAATAATCAACAATAATAAATCATCCCTTCATATTATTCATGGATCCCCAAGACCGTAGATAGAAAACTACTCACGCATAATTCAATCTAAACTAATCAAAACAATTAAAATAAACATGATTAAATCAAGAAATAAATTACGAGAAATAAAATGGGATAAATAATTACCGGGATAAAGGAAACTTTGAATTGCATAAATGAATGAGGAACAATGTTGAGAGAACAATTAACTAGAGAATCTTTAAAACTAAAATTTTGGAATTAAGCTAATGAAAAGACTTCCTTAACCACGCTTAAAAAACGTATTTAAACTAAGCAAGAGTATCCTAAAATAAAAGAATAAAAACAATCTAAAAAGCTGCTTGAAAAACGAGCGCCTAACAGGGTACCCACCACCCGACCGGGCTTGCCTTTGAGTCTCATGTGCTTCTTTTTCGCCCGATCGGGCGAGTGCATCGGGCAAGAGCCCATGCTTTCCTTGGGCTTCCTTGCCTCCTCCTTGTTCAATGGGCCCGTACTCCTTGTTTGGCCCATTCTTCAAATCTCTTCCTTGGACTTAGAAATTTTGGTCCAATGTTCTAAAACTAATCTGTCTTGCTAAGAAATGGTCACAAGTCTTGGGTTCTCCTTAGCCGAGCCCTTAATCATCGCGTTCATGACTCATACCACGGTAATGGGTTTCGGACACCGGTCATATGCTTGTGCTCCATATCCAATGCTCGTAGTGGCTAAATAATCGTGGAAAGTTCCGCAATTTCCTATAGAATAATACAAAATCTACGAAAACACTAGAAAATGCATATTAGTAATAAAAATAGGTACGAAGAGTAAAAAAAACTCCTGATTATGATCGAGGCAACGGGGGTAAAACACTACATAAAATAGACACATCATGGTTTTTTTAGTCCGATATTTTTAAGACAGACACTTTGAGAGTGAGGGGAGAAGGGTAAGGGATCCCCACCCTCAAAATGTCTCTAGTGGAGATTGAACCCCTAACCTCAAGATTGGATGGTATAATTTTTTACCACTATGCCAAACTTAGCTTGGTCCTTCTATTGTCATATGATTTAAAGAAGGAAGCCCCTTGCACTTGTAAAGTGATCTCTCTCTCTCTTTCTCTCTCTCTCTCTCTCACAAGTGCAAAATTGATGTTATTTTTGTCAAATTATTCGGAAAAAAAAAGATAAAGAAAATACATTCTAGATTTTAGAATTTTTTGAAAACAGAAATATTTTTTTAAAGGGGGTGTGTTCGAATTTTGTATAGACAACTTTTACAATTTTTGTTAAATGTAATTACATGATATGGAATAAGAAATAGTGAATGTTTAAGAGGCCACATGGCATGTAGACTTTGTTTTATAACCCTTTTTATTATATAAATAAACTAGTGTGTGGCCCGAGCAATACCTCGAGTTGCTAGTTTGTACTTCTTTAATTTAATGTTTGTCCTTCTTTAATTTGATAATTATGTTCGAATGTTTATATTGCTAGTGTGTGGTTTGGGTTATGCCTCGGCGGTTAACTACTACTTCTTCTTCTTCTTTTTTTTTTTTTTTTTTACCACATATGGATTTATTTTCTATGTGAAAAATGATTAAATTATATTACCTCTGATTTTCTTAATAAATGAAAGGAATACATAATGCTATGTGAAATTTAAAATGTTAATGAAAGTTGGTTGAGATGGTATATAATAATATAAATGTATGACCTTTATGTATTGGAGGTTATGAGTTCAAATCTACCTCAAAGCATAATTTATTTTGTTGAATGAAGTGGCAAGCTTACATGGAGCATATACTTTGGATAATAACTTGTTATTGTGACATGGCGCTATACTTTGAAAAGTGCCATGTGGTACTGTTCTTTTGAAATGAACGCCTTTTAATATGTTTTATATAATTGTCTACTAAAAAAGTAGGGTGTTGTTAAACGTCGCTCTCAAATTACAACCCTCGCTCGCATTTTTTTCATGAAATTTCGTATTTACCCCTCGTATATAAATACTCACGACACTTACAACACATTTCACGCTCGTACTTCTCTCTCTAAAATTTAAATTCTCTTCAAAAATTAAAAAAAAAACAGAAATTTTGGGAAAAAAAAATCTGAAAATCCAAAAAAAAAAAAAAAAACCAGAAATAAAAAAGAAAAACAACAACCACCACCACCAATCCAAGGAGGGTAATCCAATGGCGGACCGGAGGCGAATAAGGCTGACTTTCGGCGGTCGTGGCGACGGCGTGGGAGGCGGCTAGCAGGTACGTGGCTGCGTTTGTTCGTTAATTTGTTAAAAAAAAAAGTTTCGGAAATTTTGGGACATCAGCCTGAAATTTCCGGATGTCCCAAGGACATTCGGAAATTTCAGGTGGATGTCCCAAAATCCGATTTTTTTTTTTCTCTTGATTAATTTTTTGTTTTTTGCTTTTCGTGTTTAATATTTTTTTTTGTTGTCGTGATTAATATTTTTTAAATGACTGATTAAAATTATTCCGAATTTTTTTTTTGTCGTGATTAATGTTATGTTTTTTTTTTCGTGATTAGTATATTTTTTTTTCGTGCTTAATATATTTTTTTTTCTCTTGTGATTAATGCTATGTTTATTTTTTCGTGCTTAATATATTTATTTTTTCGTGACTAATATTTTTTAAATAACCGATTAAAACTATTATTATTAGTAATGTTATTAGTATTAGGATTGTTATTATTAGTAGCAATGTTACTATTACTATAATTATTGGTGTTATTATTATTATCGTTGTTGGGAATATTGTTGTTATTGTTGTTGTTATTAGTATTATTACCATTATTATTGTTGTTGTTATTGTTGTTGTTGTTTTGTAATGTTGTTAGTAGCTTAGTATGTTGCGAAATTTGCGGTTTATAATAATAATTATTATTATTATTGTTGTTGTTATTAATATTGTCATTATTGTAAATATTTTTTTTTCGTGATTAATATTTTTTTAATAACCGATTAAAATTATTATTATTAGTAATGTTATTAGTATTAGGATTGTTATTATTAGTAGCAATATTACAATTACTATAATTATTGGTGTTATTATTATTATCGTTGTTGGGAATATTAATTATTATTGTTGTTGTTATTAGTATTATTACAATTATTATTGTTATTGTTATTAATATTGTTATTATTTTAATATTGTTTATTTTTTGAATTTGAATATTAGTTGTTCAACTTTAATATCATAGTTATATTTATAATTATTACTGATATTTGATTTTGTACTTATTTAATGTAGATTGAGGGTTCGGGTGCTCGACATGCAATATCAAGACGTTTGAATGCGTCTGTTAGGAGGGAGTCAGGTCGTTCAGTAAATACGGGGGCACCGTATCATCATGAGCAACAATATGGGTCTCCTGGTACTTGGTCGGGGGAGTATCAGTCTCAAGGGAGCCTCCCCATGTACTCGTAGGGTGGAGTGCCTACATCTGACGATGAGGACGAAGAGCGGGCAAGTCAGGCTGATCGAGATGAAGAGTATGACCCTCAGGATTATCATACGGTGCATAGGGGTCAGAATGAGAGATTTGTTAGTAGTAGTCAAGCGAGTCAGCCTTCCACCAGCTCAGCAGAGACATGGGTAGTGCAGCAGCCGATGCCAGGTGGTCTTGAGGATGGTACTGTTATCCCCAGTTTAGGTGGTCACGTGGCTGCATATATTTGGGGCGGGCAGGAGCGTAATGTTTTGCGCTGTTTGAGCAGGACACAGTTGTGTTCAGAATTGGTTACCTGTGCACAAGAGCACCTGGAATTGATTGATGGTAGTGGTCTGTCTCACTTACCCATGTTCATGTTTAGGCGTTTTGACTGGCCGTTGATTTCTGCGTTTGTTAAGAGATGGCAGCCAGATACAAACACGTTTCATATGCCATTTGGGGAGATCACGATCATGCTGCACGATGTGTACCATATTCTTGGGCTTTGTGTTGATGGTTCCATGGTTTCCACTACTCCTAGCACGGACGCCATACGGGATGCGTGCTCGATTACCATGGACATGAATGCGGAAGAGCTGAATGAGAAGTGCGGTACAAAAACCATTTAGCAGGGTAGTGGGGTGTTGACCGAGAAGATTATGGACTCGACCTTGGAGGCGCAGAGGCCCTTCAGTGTCCATTATGGTGCCTACATGTGGTTAGTATTGGGCGGATGTTTGTTTTTGAACAAGAGTGGTAACCGTACTCATCTGTCCTTCCTCAACGAGCTTGTTGTTGATGATCTTCCGATCAATGAGTTCTCTTGGGGTTCAGCTGCTCTAGCATATCTATATTGCCAGTTGGGTACGGCGTCAAGAAATGATGTTGATTCAATCGCTGGTTGTCTCATGCTTTTGCAGGCGTGGATCTACAAGTACTTTCCGTGCTTCCGGCCTCAGCAAGGTACCTTGACGTGGGAGCTTAGTATTCCTCGTGCGTCTGCTTGGGATGTGGGATCGGGATGCCCCAACAAGAGCTTGGAGCGCCTCCTCGCTTTTCGTGCTAGATTGGATCAGCTAACTGACAATGAAGTTAACTGGCTACCGTACGGAGTTGATCCAGCACGACGCATGCCAGCCACTCTATTTATTGGGTGCATCCAGTACCGTAGCATCATTGAGCCATACATGCCTGATCGAGTGGTCCGAGAACTTAGATTCGTGCAGGACATTCCAAGGACCATTATCAGGCCTGAGAAGGCCAAGAGACCGACGGACTTGAAGATGTATCGAGTTGACTTTACGACCGAGATGACATCTGTGATGTGGACTCGGTTTGTCCCTGGCTCGTCTTTCAGTGTTATTTTAGGTGCCCTCACCAGACTTGGTGATGGAGCTCCTACGGTCGCTCCTGGTTACATGCAGTGACTGTACCGATTTTCTCATCCTCGTCTTTCTCCTAATGGGTCATCAGATGGGAGTACCAGACTACCTGAGAGGACTAACACGGACTATTTAAGTAGTTGTGTTTTATTATACTATAAATACCACTTAAACAAATTGTAATTTCTATAATTAATATGTTGTTCTCTTATTTGCAGTGGATGGGTCGGTCCTTGGAGATTCACCAAAGAGCACTGGATGAGTATCTCATCATGTCACCTGAAACAAGAGCAATGACTGAACAACTGATAGTTGACTGGAAGGCGATGATGGGGTTGTGAATTACTTGTCTTTTAGTTTTATATTAGCTGATAGTCATTGTTTTACAGTACTTTGTATTCGGCATGTAATTTAAGAATTGGAGACTTATTTAATATTTGGTTTTGCTGAAAGTTTGTTTAATTGCTTTTATTGATTTATATTACATAGCTACAACTGTTCAACCTAAGTCAAATTACATAAATGAGTTCACTCCCTAATTAATGCATCTCACATGTTCCTTCTAACTTCATATTGCTGATCCCATCCGTCAACAGTTGGCTCGTGGTGCTCGGTCCACCATCCTGCAATCGGGGGAAGAGGTGATGTAATCCCCCATATTTTTCTTAGTAAATAATAATTATATATTTTTATGTATACGAATATTTTTAATAATTTTATATTTATATAAATATATTTTGGAAAGATTTGACAAAATAGAAACGATAACTTATATTTCAATAGCATAGTTACTCACTTTGGGCCATGACTACCATTCTAATTCTACAAAAAAAAAAAAAAAAAAAAAAAGAGCCCATACCCTCATTTTAATTAAGTAAACTTTTCTCAAAACCCTCGTATAACTATTCCTATTGCCTTCCCCTTATTACTCCTCCTCTACTGCTTCCCCTTCTCCATTCACGACTCATACACAAGAAAAAAAAAAAAAAAAAAATTCGTTGCACTGCTGCCCTCGCCACCTGCTGCCACCACCAGCCGGTTTCCTTCATTTCCCCTTCTCTTTTATCTTTCTCTCTTTCTTGTTTTAATTTCTTTAAAGCTTTAATCTTTACATGAATTTTGCAATGATTAATAATTATTATGGTTTGATTATATTTATGAGTTATAAAAGATTGCGAATTTATGAATTATACTTTATTTGATTTATGGAATAAAATTTCAGATTTGGTTTATGTGAGAATTGAAGGTTTAAATATTGATTTTTCATGATTTTTGGGTTTAAAACGTGATGATTAAGTTACCTAATTATAGTATGTGTAAATTATGTTTAAATTCAATTATCTTCATTATAAGTTAAATTTCAGATTTAATTATGTATACACATTGTGAAATATTGCAAATTTATTGAGTTTATAATATATTAAGCATATAATTAATTTTCAGATTTTATTAATTAAGAAATTAGGGTTTAAAACTTGATTTTCATGGTTTTAGGGTTTAAAAACGTGTTGCTAAAGTTATTCAATTTAAGCATGATTTTGTTTTGATTTTGCTATGAATATGTTGATGTTTAATTCAACAGCAAGTTCTAAATTTTTCGTAATTATTTCTGAATTTCGTTTGTAATTTCTCTTAATCATGTCTTGACTCTGACTGGTCTGATTTTTGCAAAACAATAGTGTTTTTCGTGTGTAAACAACGCTTTAATCAAAAATCACTACCTTTAGTAGTGAGTACCACCTTCTCGTGGCCAAATTCAGTCTCTAAATATGATTTTTGGGCAGTTTTAGATTTTTAACGAAGGATTGATGTTATAAATAAATTTTCAGATTATAATTCTTACTTTAAAGTTGCTAGAATTTTACGAAAGAAGCCATATTTTCATGATTTTAACATACAAACTTGTAATTGAACTACTTCCTCCGTTCCTTTTTAGATGACACAATTTGACTTTTGCACTATACATAGACAACACTTTGACTAGCTTTTGTGATTTGTAGCTACATTAAAATATAATCATGTGGGATCTTGTTTGAATCGTCTTAATATATATTTTATTAATATTCACTTTTTATAATTTTACAATATTGATAATGGGAGATATAAATCGTTAAAATTGTGCGTTGGCAAACATGATAAAAGAAACGTGTCATCTAATTAGGAACGGAGGAAGTATGAATTATTAACTTTGACAATTGTGAGCAATTTAAAGGCATTAATTCAATCGTTTAAGGGGTTTTAAAGTAGTTTAATTGGTATTGTTGTAAATTATATTGCTTGGGTATTAATTGAGCTATTGTTGTTTTTTTTAGGAGACGACTTCGTAGAAGGTGACTTCTAGTCTTAAGGTGGCCAACCAATTCGTGTACTCAAGATACGTATAAGAATACGAGGAACCTTGACTTTAGGAGCATGTTTAGGGACTTGGAAAAAACCTAGAATCATGCTAGGGAACTTGTGGATTGGTTTAAATTGTTTGGTAATGAGCTTGATTGATGATAAATGTGATTATTGGTTTGACTTATGTATGAGAAATTTGTATTGATTCTTCCTTATAAGTATTATTTATACAATAATTTGCAAAGTGAGCTTAGAGGCAAAGATACAAGGATATATGGAATAAATTATTTTATTACTTGTTCATTAATATTGAAATGGAATGAATAAAGGAAGAATTAAAGTCTTATAAGACGAGGTTGAGGATTTAAGGTGTCTTATGCACTTAAGTTGTTTATACACCGAGGTAGTTAAAGGATTCAATAATAAATGTTGTTTGTCACTAATAAATTAAGAATTGAATTGGAAACTTGAATGGTTTGAATGATTGATGTATGATTGGTTGTGTTGTGTTGCAATTGAGTCATCACCAAATTTAAACTGGTAAATCACGTAAAGTGCAAGAAGGATGAGCAATAAAACTCTGGATTTGTGCACATCTAGAGTAATGACGAACAGGGGTTGGGGCTCACGGGGTATTAGCCGTGTACTTTTCAGAGGCCGTCTGATCTACGAGTCTCTTGTTTTAAATTCTTTTAAAATTATAATGAGTTAGATGAGATCTCATACTAGCTATGGCCACGGAGTCGCGCCCGTCTGCCATTGGATGTTTATTAATGTCTTCCGAAAGGAGGCATAGGGTTTTCTTTTATTAATGTTCCGAAATGGGGCATAGGGGGACAACCCGGTCTATTGCTTAATCCAATCAAATTAATGAAAGGATCAATGCTATTTAGTGAAAACTTAGTAATGATTAACAATTGAGTCATGTGTTCGAGTCAATGATTATATTGTGAGTGTACAAAATGCTTGTTAGTAACATGCTAAGGCTCTTAACTATATTTCGTAGCTTGTATGTACTCAGTGTTGCTGATTGAGTGCTTTTGTATGTTTCTTCTTGGTCCTGGCCTTCGCCCTTCAATAACCCTGTAATGATCCGATTCTTACACTTGTAAAATTGGGGAGCAGATTAATCACAGGTTTTTACACAAACTGAACTTGCATCAAGGTGATGGGATTTTGAGTGAAGTGTTGGTTAATCTCTTAATTAGCTTATTTCATTTCATAAATTGATTTTATTTTGACACTAATTCTATTTACTTCCTATTTTACTAGGTTTTGAATAAGGGTCGTTATGGTTCCAACTGGTAAGACTAAATTTGGTTTTGACTTTTAGTTTTGAAACTTATAACCTTTTACAAACTAAGTTAGTTTTCCGCTGCTGATTTCTGAAACTAGCCTTAACGTTTGAACACGTGGCAGTAGCACGCCAGTAATTCTCTTACAGGTTAATGCAGGTTTTAAAAAAGAAAATTATTGGGGTGTTACAGGTGAATATTCTGCAAGGTCAATACGGATGAAATGTGACCCCCGAACTGTAGCGATCACAAACTCTCGGGCGGGTGCCCTGACCGTGCTTCGTGCCCGCAACGGTAAGATCGTGAGGCATGGGTAGTAGCAGTTTGGTACGGTGCCTACACCAAGAATAATAACCCTTGCGTTGAACCAAGTAGCAATAGGAAATAAATCTTGAATTGCAACCATCCAATGTCGTGAATCAACCGCCCCATCATCCCATCGAATACGTTCTACATTCATCCAAACCCTTCCAATCTCGTAAATCCTTTCGTACAGGAATGGATGAGCGGCGACCTCGTTTGCTATTATTTCCCGAACGTCAAACCATTCTGCTTGATCACCGAAGAAGAAGTCGGCCACACAACGAAAGCCACAGTTACCATCACCAATGA